AGCCTGGCCGGCGGGAAAGGCCGCCCAGAACCGAGTCCTTTTTTTATTTTACAATAATTCGAATGAAATTTTCAGTGCCAGAGGTGAAAAACGAATGCAAACTCAAAAAGTATAGAAGAATGAAAGAAAGGGTAGGAAGTGCAGAAAAGAAAAATAGAAAAGAAGGAAAAATAGGACTATAATAAAGGCAAAGAAATATGTAAAGATCATCACCTTCCCTGAAAATAGAATAAAAGATCTCTTCTTCCGCTCTCTCCTCTCTGAACAAATCCTTAAAGCCTCCTGATCCTCCTTCGAGTCAGGCCTCTGGGCCGCAGCTCCCCCATGGCTAGTTTCGGGTCTGGGTCACCAGCTGACCCACTTTGGTCAGGTTCACGAGTCATACGAATGTGGGGAGCCTGGTTTGGCTCGATGAGACATACAATCCAGATTGCGGGTAGCAACCTCCAGTTTAAGGCTTTGCGCAGCTGGTCGATTGTGGCTTCTTGTGTCAGCATCCCAGGGTTTAAGTGGCCATCCCCATTGCACTTTTAGACCGGAGGGTACAAACGCTCCTCGTGTATCATTCCTAACTGCACTGTATAAATTCAGTAGGCACAGCCCCATATGATTTAGCCTTGCAGCAGGCTTTAATGCAAGATTATGAAAATTCTCCAAATCCAGTCATTCACTCTGGATATGAGAGTTTCTTGATTAACATGGGGCCAATTTGTACATTGCCTAAGCTCTGGTTTGCTTAACTGTGGTTTAGTGAACACGTCACACTTGGCCGGTCTGCATATTATGATAAGCCACAAACTGGATTACAAACCATTATAGCTGGCTACATCTGGTATGCCAAACTGAGCAAAACGCATTAGGGTTTACTGTGGCAGGTGAAGCCACAATTCAAACTTCTCTGAAAGTCCAAATATGCAGTTTCTGCAGAATCACCCCTCTTTATGTGCTTATTAGTATACTAAAATATGTGGGTGACACCAGATTTACCTTGGCAGATAACACGCTGGTTCTCTTTCAACCAGACTTGTTCTCCTCGTAGCCCGCTTAAGAAACCGGTCTCCTGTCGTGCGTCCACCAGTTTATCTGGAACAGATGTTAAAGTAAACCGGTCTGTCATTTCCAGGATCTTCCCAAATTCTCTTGACATATTGGTGCTACTTTGATACAGGGGCTAATTGACATGTCTTTTAATCTGGGAGTTTCACATTTCAGGGGTCATGGTATTTTATCCTGTTTGCTTTTCAAAGGCTATCATCTGGACCTGGTAGTCTGTTAATGTTTAATTGGTCAGTAAAGCTCAGAATTGTCTCTTGCCCTGTTCGGTTCTTCAGATACCCTTCCTGAAAAAGTTAATTTAGATAGAAGTATTGTCCCTATATTTTTGTGAAATAAAGATGGATGCAAAGAATTAATTTAGCTGCTCTCCAGGTCTTTAGCTTTAACACACTTTTAACTTCCCATCTCTAACTTTCAAACTATTTCTTCAGCTGACATTCTGCTTCTGATGTATTAAAGACTATTTCATTATAGTAGATCTTAATCTTAATGTTTCAAAGTAGATTCAGGTTACTTTAGTCTGTCTCAATCTTCCTTATGCATATGATTTCAAGATCTTTTTGGAGGGAAAGGTATTCTCCATGTGCTCAGAGGCACTTTTTTCTCTAAATAAATTAATAAATATATTCTCCCTCAGGTAGGCTGTTTGAACACATAGCTGTCTGTACTCAATCTGCTGTCAAGAGCTTTCTAAAAATAAAAACTGTTTTTTCCTTCCTTCCTTCCTCCTCCTCCTCTTTATTATTTTTGCTGTTATTACCAGAGTTGGCAAAAATATAAATCACCATTACAGTGAAAAAAAAAGGAACTGAGAAAAAAATGAGTTAGAAGCTGATCATAATTTTGTTGTCCTTAACATTTCATCTTCTGACCTGGTTACCAAATAGAAATGGTAAAATTATGAGAATTTGAAGGGGGTGGGATGAATGTAATTTTTTCTCCCACTTTGGAGGACAGCTTTTTCCTTTAGACTCTGCTGAGAATCCCACAAGCAAATATCCTCTAAATGTATTCTGTGCATGGCCAGAAAAAAATTCATTTGTACAGAACAAACGGCTTCTGAGTGGGAGGAGAGACTTCTTCACATTTTCGGACCAATTTGGTTTCCCCACCAAACGATTCCTCCAAGGAATTCTGCGTATGCTCAAGGACACCTTGACTTTCCCAAATGGAGAAGACCCCTCCCCTTCCCAAAAGAGTTTGCCTGTTTTGTGCATCATTCCTCTTTTTTTGGGTGGGGGGAGGTAAACAAAAGCATTTCGCAGGTGCCTCGGGCGTCTTTGCCAAACCACGCAGCGAGCCCCGTCCGGAATTTAAATCCATTTTACTCGGGAACGTCCCGGTTTTTTTTTTTTTTT